CCCCTCGCCCTCCCACAGGCAGGTATGTCTTTTGGATGCCTTAGACTGAGGCAAGCCCAAAGTAGCTGAGTCTTCTGGAAGCCAGGTACTAGCCACACATTCCAGAACAAAGACCATTTTGTCCATTAAGTACCCAGAGCCTACGTACTCCAGGGCCCAGTCATGCTGGTCAGCCTCTGCCTGAAGCACCATACACACTAGAGTCTAGGCCCTGGGACTAGGTAAACATTAATAAAAATTTACCTCAGAGGTATGTAGGTCAGATGCCTCCCAGGGCCAGGCAGGGATGGATGTAAATGACTGTGGTGGGCCAGGTGTGAAGCAACAGGGAGAAGTGGGATGAGAAAACTGGAGCCCTCCTGCCTTGACTAAAAATGCAACTGCTACTCAGCTGGTCCACCACTGCCATGAAGGCATTCAACTTGAAAACAGAAAACCAGATTTGTATGTGAAATTTTCTTATTTTTAGAACACTAACAGGGCCAAACTAAACATCTATAAGATTTAAATTACAACTCTTGCTTTAGTGTATTTATTAGCCAGGTAACTCCTGGCAGTTGTGGCTATAAACAAAGAAACCAAATTGTCATCATCAAGAGAAGCAAGCAGAAAAAGGCAAGAGGAGTGGTGATGATGAGAATATTGCAGAAAGCCCTTCAAAATTGAGGCAGGGCGAGTAAAGGCTGTGAAAGCCTTTTTTTCTAGATTTTTAAATAAGATTATCAGAATAGGTTCAAGGAGGAGGATTAGGAGCAGGGTGAAACACTGAGCTACCGCTTCAAGCCTTATTCCTAAGGCCAAACACCTGCAACAACCCTGTCACTGCTCAAAATGATTTTTGAGTTTCCTTTTGCTATCACTTTTGAACCAGATGTTAAGCCACAGACACAAACACACGCACACACTCTGTCATTATTTTACAGCATACCTCAGTTTTTAGTGGTGGTGATACAAAACTGGATCAAATCTGGCTCAGAGTGACTTTGGACTGTTTGCACAAATCACATCTAGCAAGCACTGACGGAGGTTCAGTATATAAATATAACATAAGTTACACAGTCAGTTCAAAAAAGGAATTCCTTAAAAGGTTTCGAGGAAAAGCAACATCACAGGGATGAAGTTGTAAGGATAATAGCAAGCCCTTGCCATATGCCCAGCACTGGGCTAAAGTGCCTTCTGTGCCTCATAACACATCCAAGTTTCATCTTTGAAGCACATACTTTTATACCCATTTTACAGATGAGTATGGATATGGGGCCTGTGCAAAATCACACTGCCGGGAAAAGCAGAGCAGAGATTTAAGTCTAGGCCTGACTAGCTCTAAAGCCCATGCATGATTTCTGACTCACTTCTGTGTTTCCTCTCTTTTTTTAATATATATATTTTTTAATCCTCACCCAAGGATACCTTTTCCATTGCTTTAGAGAGAGAGGAAAGGGGTGGAGGGCGGGGGACATCAATGTGAGAGAGGCACATTAATTGGTTTCCTCCCACACACACCCCGACTGGGGCCAGGGCCGGGGATTGAGCCTGCAACCAAGGTACGTGCCCCGGCCAGAATCAAATCTGGGGCCCATCAGTCCACCGGCCGACACTTTAACCACTGAGCCAAATCGGCTAAGGCTTTGTAATTTTTTTCTTAGTCATGTGTCCTAATGGTTGTGCCCTGGATAGTGAGGAAATGAAGAGAGGGCAATGAGATTACCTTAGCACACCTATCAGCATAGCCCCCTTCCCAAGGGACAGCTTTCATGGACCAGGTAAGAAACCACAGTCCCAAAGAAAGAACAAGCAAGACTAGCCTCTCTCTGCATGGGCAATGTCCTGAACAGGAGAGAAAGACCAAGAGTTCAAAGAAGCCAGACAGCCCTTGGTCAGCTCTGAAGTAAACCCCACGCTTTGGTGCCCTCTCCGCTGGCTGCTCAGGGCTCCCTTCCATGCTGAATCCTCAGACCTCTCTTCTCCCTACCACCATCACTCCAAATACCAATTTTCTCTCAGCTGACTGCAAGAAATCCCAGCTAAGGTGTAAGCTGACAACAGCTTACCATATCACACTTCCTTGCACTTGTATCTGAATAAGAGATTCTTAAATATCAAAGACTTCAAGATCCAAGAGAATGAATGAATCTCTAACGGTAG